TGCGGTGACACGGAGGCTTGTAGGCGAAGGCTCACTGGCCCTTCTTCCCTCTCTGCTGCCAGGGCAGCTCGATCCTGCCAACCTCCGTGCGGCGCTCCCGCGGAGGCAGGAGCGTCTCCTCCTGTGCTTGCAGACCCGAGGCTGGGATAGAAGAAAAATAATTTCATCTTCTGTCTCAGCTCACGTCATAGCCAGCCAAAGAACCTGGAACAGCTCGGGCGATAGTGCGAGTGTCGGAAATCGGATCGATCTGAAGGGTCTGCAGGCCCCTGCGGGCAGAGGCCGCTGCTTTAGCACAGACTGAGCTTAAAAGGTTTTATATATAATAGTAGTTATATAATATAGTGCTGAATGGAACCCATTAATCTCCCTGTTGTTAGCGAGGAAACGCCGGAGAGGGCAGGTGTTAACAGTCTCCGTGTTATTTTTGGGAGAATGCGAGTCGAACACTCGCAGGAAGTGTACTATTCCCTTGCCAGCATCCTGGAGTATTATTTTAGGCAGCAGAACTGAGGTTTGTCAGCAGAAGTTAGCTTTCAACTCACCTTTAATGCAAGAGGGGCCCTTCACAGGCAAGGATTTTGCTGCTAAGTTCGGGGAAATTAAAATAATCAGTGCGTCTCTGCGACACGTTGCTCAAAGAGGCTGCCAATAGCGGTCCCCAGGAGGGCACCGTGGGTGTGACGGCCGCAGCCCCGTCTGACTGAGGATCGCACGGACTGGCCCTGGTTCCTCGAGCTCTAGGGGCTCACGCGTGCACGGCCAGCCTGCACCCAGTCGCCAGCGTGCGTGGGTTGTAGCCCTCAAAGTTAGCACTCAGATCAAGGGGCCCGCAAACATTTTCTGCAAAAGGCCAGATAGCGAATAGGTTAGACTTTGCTAGCCACATGGTCTTCGCTGAGACTAGTCGGCTCTGCCATTGCAGCACGAAACCAGCTCAGACCATGTGCAAGCCGCTGGGTGTGGCTTGTGTCCCAGCAAGGCATCGTGGGCACTGACATTTGGATTTCATGTCATTTTCATCGGTCACGAGACTGAATTCCTCTTCTGATTTGTTTAGCCATTTTAAAATGCATATATATAAAAAAAAAAAAAACACTTTTAGCTCAGTCTGTGCAAAAGCAGTGGCTCTGGCCCGCAGGCTGCAGACCCTTCCAGACGATCTGATTTCCGACACTCGCACTATCGCCCGAGGCCTGTTTCCAGGTTTTCTTTGGCCTCGGCTATGGGACGTGAGCATGAGACAGAAAGTGAAAAGGTTATTTTTCTTCTATCTCCAGCCCCTCGGGTCTGCAAGCACAGGAGGAGGACGCCGTGCCTCCCGCGGGGTGCGGCCCCGCACGGGTTTGCAGGATCGAGCTGCTCCGGGGCAGGCAGAGAGGGAGGAAGGAGCCGGTGAGCCTTCGGCACAAGCCCCCGTGTCCACAGAAGGCCTCTGTGCGCGGAGCGTTTTGGCGAGCTGTTTACTCGTTCATTCTATAAATACCTCTCGGGCACCCGCAGCGTGCCAGGCCCTGTGCTGGGCCCCGGGATACAGCCATGCGCCAGACGGAGTCCCCGCCCCCCTAGAGCCAACGCCGCTGCAATTCGGGTGAAAAGGCTGCATTTGTCGCCAGAGCTGACCGGAGGAGGCCAGGGCGGGAGGGCAGGTTTGGCGCCGGGGCAGCAGGGAAGACCCGCAGAACCTGAGCTTCACGAATGAGCCGCGCCTGTCCAGGGGCTGGAAGGTCCCGTCACCTGGATTCCTGACGGCCTGGGGGAGCAGCTGCCGGCCTCTGAGTCACACACGCACACCTGTGCATCACCCCATTAGGGGGTTACGACCCCAGAAATATGCCCTAATGTGACCCACCCCATACCCCTTCATTCACCCAGCCCGAGAAATCGTCACAAGCAGGTGGCCCAGGTGGGACCTCGGACCAGGTAGGTCAGAAGGAGAAGGAAGAGCAGCCGGGGCAGAGACACAGGCAGCGACACCCGGGACACCTTCTGGGCATGAGCAGATCAGTCTGCACGGAGGACGGGGTCACCTGGGCGGACCCTGCGTCCTCCCACCCAGGGACCCCGACTCCTAGCCATAGAAAGTAAATGTTCTCACCTCTCCCCAGCGTCCTCTGCTCTGCAGCCTCACGACCCCTCTTAAAATCGTAACCCCGCTGTGTCCCTCTCCAGCCCCAAACCACTCCAGGGTTCCTCCCCAGCTGCTTTGGGGTCAGTTTGAGCCCCTGGCCAGCGCCAGGGCCCCGGCAGTGCAGCCCTGCCCCCACCCCGGACATTCCAGCCACGCTGAGCCACCTGCTGCTGCCTGGCACCTGCTACCTGGCACCTGCAGCCCGGCTCTGACCCAGATCTGGGAGGGGGCTCTGGGAAGTGTCGCCCCCACTTGGGCAAGTTGCACCAGCACATCCCCCCACCGGGAAGGTCACCTGCCCACCTGGGTGGGAAGCCACACTCGTGGCACTGACTCATGACCCTCGCAGCAGATGGGCTGGCGTTAGATTGCTACCATGTTTCCCCAAAAACAAGACAGGGTCTTATATTTATTTTCCCTCAAGAAGACACCTCAGGGCTTATTTTCAGGGGATATGTGATTTTCCCCTCAAAGCCTCAGTTTGCAGCACGCACAGGATGGGCGGGACTTGACGGGGGGGAGCCGACCTTGTTGGTGGGGCTGCCCGCACCTGTCTGGTCACCTCTGGGACAGCAGCTGTCACGACGGGGCGGATGAGAAGGGCTGCTCGTCTCCTTTCCCACTCCGAGACGAAACGCATGGGTCATGCAGATGCGATGCGTAGCTACGCCTGCCACTAGGGCTTATTTTCAAGGTGGGGCTTCTATTGCGCAAATGCTTAGAAACCCTGCTAGGGCTTATTTTGTGCGTAGGGCTTATTTTGGGGGAAACACGGTAGGTACACACTGCATATGACGAGGAGAGGATGTCCCCATCCTACAGCTCAGGACGGGGGACTCAGAGAGCTGAGGTGGGGCGGCCGGTGAGTGGCGGGGCCACATCTCTCTGGCCAGTGAGTCTGAGCCTTCTCGTGCGTGGCGTTTCTTGGGACAGACGTTAAGACGCAGCGTGCTGGGCCCCAGCCCCCGGACGTGCTGATCCGGAAGGTCTGAGAGGCGGCACGGACTGTGCCATGTCCCCAGCAGCCAGGCGGTCAGGGTAGGTGACCACTGCCCTGGGAGACACGCTGACCCCTCTCCCACTGCCCTGCTCCTCAGATCCCCCCAGGGGGCAGGCGGTGGGGACCGAGTCCCTTGACTCAGCTGTGATGCCCAGCAGAGGGAGGGGCGAGGGCGGGACAGGTATGGAGTGACAGGTGCGGGGCAGACGCACCTGCTGGCTCTGCCACTTCAGGCTTTCGGTCTGTCCGCCCGCACGGTGACTCGGTGGGCCCTGCTTGGCCGGGAAACGGGGACGCTGTGCGTCCCCTGCTAGTGTCCTTGCTGCCCCGGGCCTGCACTGCCCACGCCAGGGAAGATCCCCCCCGAAATGAGGGTGTGGGCGAGGAGGGGGCCCTCCAGGCCGGGAAGCTCAGGCTCCCGCCCCAGCCTGTGTTCCCAACGGGAGGGAGCGGCCGATTGCCTCACGCCGGGGAGTCGGATGGAAAATAAAATCACCGGCATTGAGAGTCATAAATACTTGCTTTCTCTGTTAACGTTTTTACGATACTCCCTCTTTTCAGATGCAATAATTTACGCTGATGCGTTCCTCCCGCCGTGCCTGCTGCTCGCCGGACGCCTGCCTGGACGGGACCACGGGACGAGAGTAAGTCACGCCCGGCCGACTGCGCGCGTGTTCCACTCTGCCGCCGAGACCACGCCGGCCGCCCGCGCTGGCCCGCCGGCCCCAGACACGGAGCCCGCCCTGCGCTTGGCCTCAGCTGGACGGGCGGGGCGTGGAGCCGCGCGGCGTGCCACCCGGGTGGCCTGGCTGGGTGGCAAGGAGCTGGGTGGAGTCCCGCCCCGGTCACCCGGGGAGCCGTGAATCAGTGTCTGGAGGGCCTGCCACCAAACACTTAACACCAGGACTCCAGGGGACGCAGGGGAGAAATACTGCTTGTTTTTCCTAGGCTCCCGTCCGGCGGGGAGGCGCCCCACGCGGGCTTGGCTTGAGGTCTGCCGTCATTTAAAGAGACAGAAGTCTCCCTTGGGATTAGCCTCCACTGCCCAGAAAAGGAAGACAGAAGACCTACCAGCGGGGTGTGGCTTTAACACACAGTATTTTTTATTCTCTAGCATGAAAGAGCGTGGAGCCAGAGCTGGTACGGAGCCTCCGAGAAGTTGACAGCAGGGTGGGCTCCTCTCTGCCTCCCTGCAACAGGGCCCTTCCTGTGGCCCAAGGCGGCTGCCTGAGCTCCAGCCATCACATCCAAGTTTCTGACGGCGGGACGGAAGCCAGAGAAGAAAGGCCACGCCCTGCGCGTTAGAAAAGAAAAGAGACTTTGTTTAGAACAGCTTTACATTTACAGAAAAATTGTGGATATGGTAAGAGCCTCCCATACGCTGTATCCCATCCCCACTTTTCCCTCTTACTAACGTCTTACGCTATTATGGTCCACTTGGTGTGATCAACGAACAAACATCGACACATTTATCCGTCGCTAAAGTCCGCGCTTCCTCCGGATTGCCCTAGTCTTTACCCGGTGTGTTTTCCCGGTGCCGGGATCCCACAGGACCTTGACTCGCGTCTCCTTGGGCTCCTCGCGGCTGCAGGAGTCCGACCCCCCCCTTTTGATTTAAGGAGGCAGCCCGGAGTTGTCACGTGATGCTTCTTCTTACCTCTCATTGGGCAGAACTTGGTCACATGGCTGCACGCCGCCGCAAGGCAGGCTGGGAAGTGATTTATTCCAGGTAGGCCTGAGCCCCGCTGAGCGCCAGGCGGTGGTTCTTATCTATTTTAAAAAAAAAAAAAAAAAAAAAAAAAAAAAATAGTAAGACGTGGTTCGCTCGAGCTCAGGCTGGTTTTGGAAACTGCTGAACTCGGCAATCCTCCCGCCTCGGCCTCCCAGAGAGCTAGGACTACTGGAGTGAGCCACCGCGCCCAGCCTTGGGAGCTTGTTTCTTGACAGCAAACCCTGCTGTCACCCTGTCCTCTGTTTAAGCCCCAGTTCAGGTGTGGGGTCCTCCAAGAAGCCCCTGCCCCGGATCGCAGCGACCGGCCAGCCAGCCTGCGTGATGTTCTTCCGGGAGTTTCCCTCGCGGGCTGGCTGTGCAGCGGGCGCTGCGCTGAGCACGCTGTCCCTCGGCAGAGCCATCTCAGGGGGTGTCGTTCCTTTTCCAGCTCTACCCGAGCAGAGGCTTCCCGGGGCTCACTCTGCCGGGGTCACAGCCGGCACGAGTCGCAGTGAGGCTGCCTGCAGGGCGCCTTCGCTCTTCAGCACCGAGTGACGCGGCTGCAGAGCTCCCAGGCCACGTTCCCTTCGCACGGGGACAGCAGGTGCCTGCGTGTCTCCGCGGAGGAGCCGCCATCCACTGCCATCCCCCCATGTCCTACCGCCTTGTCCCCATGCCACTCCCACGACTCCCACGCGCGCCCATCCCCATCACCTGCGGCACTGCATCCCACCGTCATCCCATGCACGTCCCTACACTCCATCCCACGACCCGTCCCGAGCCTCCAGCCCTCGCCTGGGAGGTGCTCTGCGGCTCTGCCTGCCCCTGGAGCCTCTGCCGTCTTCTGTGACTTCTCTTCTCTGTCCCCTGGCCAGACACCGAGATGGGAGGAGACCCCAGGACCACAGGAAGTGGGTCTTTGGCTGCAGAATGGCCACGTGGAGCTGACCGCCCATGCACCGTCCCGTGAGCGCACCTGCTCCGGCTCTGGAACCTGGGCGCCACCAGTGCGGGCAGTGGCCCGTAGCTGTACTACTACGTA